TTCTTTAATTTGGATATGTTTTTCTTAAGACTGCCTTTCTGTGTAGCCAAGACTGATCTCGAACTCGTGGCTATCCTCCTCAGTTCTCAAGTGTTGGAATTCCTGTGTGTACTACCAGACAAGGGTTGGAATGCCATTTTAAAATTTCATTATCCTTTTCTAATGCCTGATACTTGTGCTCAGTTTTGTTCAAAGTTTGCCACACTAATCACTTCAAATGTATACTCTAGTTATTTTAAGCTGATTTAAGAATTTGCACACGCCATGTTCAGAACTTAGTAATCTCAGCCAACTTCAACTCTGTACACTTCTACCTGACAATGTCATTCTACTTTTTGTCTCTGAAATATTTACTGCTACATTTGGCAACTAATTTATACAAATATTTTTTATAAAACTGCATGTTTATTCTATGCAACAAAACATCACAATGTTTTATCATGTATAGCAGTATCCTAACATACAGGTCAAGAATGAGAAAACGTACACAAGCTAATTACTTGCAGTGATTTAAAACCTTGAGTAGGATGACATTTTCTTGACTATTTTAATAATAGGCAGTTATTCCAGGAATGTCCACAAGTATTTCCTAAATTAAAATTAAAACTCAATCCAATCTTTCTTCCCTTGTGTTAGTCATGATACATATTGTTTATAAAAATTTTTAATTTAACTGAAGGTATTTTTAAATTAAATCTGTTTGTAGCCTTTATCTCCTTAATTTAAACCAAATACAATAGAGATCAGATCTTTATTTGCTGTGTACAGAAAATATTATATATCAGTGTTGTAATCCCTTTCTTTAATATGTTGATCTCTAAAAAACAATCAATACTTAAGTAACAAGTCAACATTTATTGGATTTAATATTAAGGAGAGACAGTCAATAACTTTGCCTTGGAGTGATAATGATGACTACATTCTCTTCACCCATAAGGAATCTGGTATTAGCACAAACAATAACATGTCAAAGAGGTAAAGGGGGTAGCTTTCCAGAGATTCACCTCATTTAGTTTCACAAAAACATGATTTAAACACCAGAAATGTATGTATTACTTGGATAGTGAGATCACTATTTAGCACAGCTTCTTCTTTCGCCTTTTTACTCAAATTGTGAGTGTTTAGAACAGCAATATGACAACTAGGTGGCCACCATTGAACTGCCAGCTCTTTTCCTACTGACCCTTGTCTGTAGGCATAAGCCACTTGTTCATTCCTGGCTATCCAGACCACGAAATAATCACTCAGAATCTATATTATTTGCAATACTGTTTGATCAATAGCTTAAGTGTATTTCTAGCTTGCTCTTATAACCTAAACTAACCCATCTCCATTAATCAATGTATCATCACATGGCTATGGCTTACTTGTAAGATTCCGGTGCATCTGTCCCTGGCAGAGGCTACATTGCTTCCCCCTGACTTTGCCTTCTTTCTTCCAGAATTCAGTTTCATTTTCCCTGCCTAGCTCTATTCTGCCTTTCTATAGGCCCAAAGCAGTTCCTTTATTAATTAATGGTAATCACAGCATACAAAGGGGAATCCCACATCACTTGTCTGCTATGCTTAAATTATTCACTTGTTTCTCTTAAGGTGTAAGAGATTTTCAAACCAGCACACATATATTTAGAATATAATTTGTAAATATTAACTTGTGCTCTGACATATTAGCATCCAGCCAATTTTGATTCTAAACACTTTATAAATGTTTGATTTTTCTTTTTCATTTCCTACTTTATTATATTATTTTAATAAATCTTTTATTAATTTTTTGAAACATTAATACAATATATTTTGGTCCTATTTCATCCAACTTCTCTTAATCTTTGCTAGCAGAGGACTTGAAAAGGGAGGCCTTTTGCAATATATATTATCATTGCTATTGATAGTCAGTATAGCCACATTATCATTCTCCATTCTCTTTAAAGAATTCTTTATGATGAGTGATGGTGGCATAGGCCTTTAATTTCAGCACTTTCTGAAGGCAGAAGCAGGCAGATCTATGAGTTCGAGGCCAACCAGGTCTACAAAAAGAGTTTCAGGACAGCAGTGGATGCACAGATAAACTCTGTCTCCAAAAAAACAAAACAAACAAATGAAAACCCCCCAAAGAACTTTGCTTTATGATTTTATTGATATGTGTATTGGGGAGGAGATATGTCCATACCATACTTGAGTAGCAAATGCTTGTGAATATTAAACATTTGCCAGTCTTCCCCATTCCCTTCTATAACCATAAAATATATTGAGAAAGTTATTAGAGAACTGAACTGATAAATGGCTTGTGAATTTAATGAAAATAAAGAAATTGAGCATCAAAACAGAAGCCTTTCGCCAATGAGAATCTGCCGGGCTCTTCAGCAAATGAGACCGAATCAGTTAACATTTCAATTCACAGTTATACGAGGTGATGTGCCTACTCATTAGAAGGCTAAAGAAACACTACAAACTTGAATGGAGGCCAGCAGTCTCCATATCACTGTACAAAGTACCAATTGTTAACAATTTGTTTAATTCATGATTCTTCCTTCCTCCCTCCCTGCCTCTCCCTCCTGCCTCTCTGTTCCTCCCTCTCTTCTGTCTTCCTGTATGCATCTATGTGAGGTGATGCTCCTGTGGTGTTTAGGGGGCAGATAGAAGAGGCCATCAATGTGCTCCCTCTGTCACTCTACATATTCCTTTTGTCCCTTTGTCTGACTGTCTCTCCTCGAAACCATGGTTCATCTTTCTCAGTGAGCCCCAAAGGTAGTTAGCCCTAGTGACCCTCCTGTCTCTGTGCACCATAGAAATGGGTTACAGGCATTTGGGGGATACTAAGCTTGCTATGAGGGTATGAAAGCTCCAGTCCTTGTAAGTGGAACAAACCCTACTGATGGCTGATCCATCTCAGACTGCAATGAGTCTGATTAAATGTCTTTGATGCTTGCCTTGGGACTGAACACACAGCTTACCCATTCATCACAACGTAGTCTATATAGTGTGCGTCTTTAGCATCCTCTGGATGCTAACCGAGTTGGGGTGGTCTCATAATAACCCACCTTTGAAATAATGGTACAACAAGCAAAAGCGTATTTCAGAATGTATTCAGGACTAGAACTCAGGTTGAAAATCAATTAAGAGATGATTTGATTCTTCCTAGCACCAGAAGAGGGAAGTGTACCAGTAGTTATGATTTATTTATGTATAATCACAAATACTCTTTTCAATAATAATTTATTTATAGGTTATCAATTTATCTACATTTGTATTCATAAGATGTCCTCAATCTTAAGGTTACTCTTAAAATATTTAATACACAATTTTGGTGGCCACGAAAAAGCTATAAATGAGTCAGGGGACAAGACATGGTGATGTGGAGTCACCTACTGGGAAGACGTGGATCTGAATGTGGAGGGCACCTGTCCAGGGAATGTCGGGTTTGTCTTTGGTGGCTCATACTGTTTGGAAGTGGACAATAAGAAATTTGGTTGCTAGCTTATTTGTTTGGATGCCCATCATATATAATTGTACTAAACTCACAAACTACCCTAACGATTAGGATTCATCCTAGTTTTCTGTTATTTCTGATGATTTGTCGCGTTTCTTGGTTCCTTTGCCACCCTTCCTTAGAAAGCGTCTCTACCTCCACTGTGAGAGAAAAATACAATGTGTCTGTCTTGTCTTGATCCTCTAATCTCAAGTCTAGTCTCTAGACCCCTCACAGTATCTATGAACACTAACTGGATGGATGCATCTAACCTTAAATATCTAGCGTACAGGAGAGTAGGGAAAGCCATGTCATTGAAAGCTTAGGCACTACTGAGACTTGAATTTTAGTCTTAGCTTTAGCACGAGTAACAGGCATATATCCCCAACTATATAAGCAAAACTCAGTTTCTTTGGTACCATGTTTTCAGTGTTCTTGTGAGATGGAGTGAGTTATCTCGTGGAAGGCGAGGCAAGTTAACTTCTTAAACAGTCCCACAGAATCAATATAATACTCCAACTTTATCTAAAATAAATAAAATATAAGGAAAGCTTTGGAAAGAATAAAAGAACATATTAAAAAAAAAAACTTCCAGCAGATTTTATGTGCAGGGCAGTCGGTCCGGTCATTACTTTAGAAGGAGAAGTGAAAAGGGATTGTTTGTGAAAAGACAACAACAAAATGAAGAAAGGCTCATTCCATTTGAAGTAGCAAGATATATGTCAGGGCCCCATCTGTAAAGGAAGCATGCATTTTTTTCCCCTTCCTTTATTGGATTCTTGAGAGTCAATTGCTCATTTGAATAAAGGTGGGGCAGACATAAATGAGTTCAGCAACATTCCCCTTGATAGTGAAAAAGACCATGACCTTAAAATAGGAGAACATCAGAGTGACTGAAGTTAGGTACCGCCCCCCCCCCCAAGTTTATATGGTGAGTAAATTCTCCACGGGATGGCTGGATACCTAGAACTAATTCCATGTCGCGATGATGTACACTGGAAGTGTTTTACCGTACTACAAAATCTTTTAATAACCTCTTCATTTGTCCATCAGTGGACATCCTCCCGTCCCAAGATGTATGTAGGTCATGGGAAACACCAGGCACAACCTATGTCTAGTCTTGGATTTCCAACCCTGCCCAAGAGCATGCCATCAGCAAGGAGAGAGACACCTGTGCCTTGGGGACACAGGTGAAGTCCACCACCTCCCAGTGCCTGGCGTGCACATTCTCCCTCTCTGGGCATCCGGGACGCCTGGCGGTCCTCACAGGCTCCCGGGTATTAGACAGGCCTGGGAACCCTGAGGGCTGAGGCGGCCAGGAGGGAGCGCCTGCACTTCTCCTACCCCTCCCCTCCGCAGCAGCCTCCTGCCACTCAGGCGACTCGACGTGCGGCCCCGCCCAATGACTGACGGCCGCCTCCGCGGGCGCCCCGCCCTCCCGGCTCCTCTTCCAATGGGAGGCCGGCGGGGGCGGGCCGCGCGGGCAGCCTCTCCAGCTGAGGCCGTGGCTGGAGCCGGGCAGGGGCGCGGGAGAAGCAGGTACCGGCGCGGGCTGCGCAGCCCCAGGCGCGAGAGCTGCGCTGACGGGCGGGCGGAAGGACGGTCCCCTGCGGGAGCCAGGGACCGCGGCGTGCGAGCGGGCGGGATTCGCGCCAGCCCAGGCACGGTCCGAAGTCCGCGCTATGGGAGAAGAGAAATACTTGCCTGAGCTGATGGCAGAGAAGGATAGCCTGGATCCATCTTTTGTGCACGCGTCGCGCCTTCTGGCGGAAGGTAGGACTGGCCCCGGCGCTCGCCAGCCCCGGGCAGTGGAGAAGTTGGGGAGGGTGGACGCTCCGCTGTGCAGAAACTGCCCCTCGGAGCTGCTAATGAAGGCGGGAGCGCTGCGCGGGTAGCTGGGCTCCTCTGAGGCTGAATTGCTGGAGACCAAAGCCCTGAGGTCTCATGACTGGAGGATGCGACCTGTTAGGGTCCTGGACAGGAAAACCAGCAAGTGTCAGGTGGTCCACCGGGACCTTTTCACTTCACAGAAGCCAGGGAAATCAGTTCAGGAGGAAATGCGAGCCATGAAACGTTTTTCTGAGAGCGTGTTGGACACACATCAGCGTTATTTATTTAGTACATTTTCCCCCCTTTGGCGTTTCTAAGTGATTTTGATAACCTTTTATCAGTCTTTCCCCTGAAAGTCTTAGAATTAATCAGCATTAAAGTATGTGTGTTTGTGTATTTATGTGAGCGTGGTAAGCAGAAGCTAAAGTGCTTATAAATGTATTTGAAAAGAGATTATTGGGTACTCTGTGAGATTTTGGTCTCTAGGAACGCTCCGTAATTGATCAACTGTTTTTTTTTTTTTTTTTTTTTTTTTTTTTTTTTTATCAGGTGTGCGTTTTCTTTTATGTACCTGTGATGTCCATGGAGCTTCGGTTCCCAGTGGAGCATCTATGCCTTTTGCATTGCTTTGAAAGGTCGTTTGAGAAAAGGCACACATGAAAACTTCTCTGTCAGAAATATTAACCCCAATTATTCCATTTATGTGAAACAATGCTAGCTACTAAAGACATCCCATATGCCCACTAATTGGCACATGCCTATTTAACACACTGCAGAATTTGGGGATGAATGTTTCATTAATTATGAACTGCTTCATCTTCAAACTGGCTACCATGCAGCTTGGGAGCGTGGGGTCTGACCCACTAGCAAAAGCAGTGGCATCGTCCCCTTGTCCAGTTCCTCAGCATTAAAGTAGATTTGAAGCTTTGTTTTGCATCATAGAAAAAATCTTGCTCCTCATAGGATCCACAGATATTAGATTTATTTGACATTTTTAATGGGTTATTATTTATTATGACCCACAGTAACAAAGTATCTCATGAAAGACTGCCAGGAAGAAATTTATAATCAGAATGTAGAAGACTCGAAATAATCTAAACTGTTTTCAAGGGGAGGCTGGCTTTGTAGAGTACTTAGGGAGTGAAATACAATCATGTTTACCACTTCCCTGATAATCCAATTATAGTCAATGAAAATCTAAAGTCAAGGACTATCCTGTCCTCTGCTTTTAAAGGATGTCTGTGTACTCATTATAGGAATATTGAAAAAAGAATGACTTAATAAGCATTAACAGATTAAAAATGTTCAATTATTGGCTTCAGTCTGTTCTTCAGAAGTGTTTCCGTTCAGCGTACAATGAAAAAGGAATACAGATTCGGATCTTCTCTGTCCTGATAACGGGAGCTTTCATTGGGACGGATGAATCAATCTTTGATTCACCAGCTATTAATGTCTGTTAACTGTACTTTCAAAGCTTACAGAACTAAGAGATGCAGGTGAAGGTCTTAGCAGAGTGAGACACAGGGATATTCCTGACCAGGAAAACGGTTAAGAGAACACTAAGTGCCTGGCTTCCTGGCACTTTTCTTTCTCAAGCACCGGATTTCTTGCGACTTAGGAAATTGTTCTAATGCACGATGTAATTTAATTTTTTCCCAGCAGGGGGAAGCATGGCCTGCTTTTGTAATGGATTAGGGAAAAAGCTCCTAACTAGACAAGCATCTCAGTAAGAAACAAAGAGGGTGCCTAAATTCAAAGAATTCCTAATGAGAAAGGAGAAAGGAGGAGGTGGCATCGGTAATCCAAGAGTAACCAGTTAGTTACATAAAGAGAAGCGCAGGCGCGTGTCACTTCTGTAACTCTAACCAAGCTCTTTACTCATGCTTACTAGACTGTAAGGGGAGTGTGCTTTGGATTCTCGGTGAATCAGAATGCACATGTTGCATTATAGATTTTTTCCATTGTCTTTTCAAAGGCCATTTGTGAGGGTTTCTAGGATCGCTGTAGAGATTTTATTTCTCGTACCTGGAAATGCTCCGATTGAAGACATCAGCTATAAATAAACCTGACACAGATACTCAAATGGAAGGAAGGTGCACAGCGAAATACATTTTAGCAGTGCTGTGCAGACAAGACAGTCTTGAGACTGAGGGGGCAATAAAAATGAGCCAGATGATTCCATTCTTTGGAATGAGTTTCTAGAAGCAGTGATATAAAGCAATGAACTCTCACAATGACTTATTTTGCCTTGCAATAATTGATAGATACAAGCCTATAATCACTTGTGCCTGCTTCATTTACGTTGGAAGGCCATGGTCTTCACATTACTTTTTGAGTTGCTTTTGTATTTTCATTTTATTTTATTTCATTTGTTTCTGTTTCGTGTTTTCAGTGAGGGTGATTCTAAAAAATAATCATTAAAAACAAATACATTATGAATATGACTTTAGCGATAGCAGATCGTGAGTAATATGGGTTAAGGTGTTTTCATAATGTATTTGATTAAAATAACTTCCATCCTGTAATTACAATTCTACATAGCTCCTCAGTTGTTATGGAAGGTGTTTCTGAATGTGGTAATAGAGCAAACTCAGTATGATTCTTAATGGTCTGGACCAGGTCCGATTCTGCTTGAGCAGTGAAGTTTCATGAGACTATTTATAGCTATGCTACCTCCATTTAATTCCACGTTTATTTAACCTGAATTTTGTAAGCTTTCCTTGTCTGGGTCCAGTTTTCTTCTCTCAAATTAAATAGTTAGAGTAGGAGAGCTGAATATTTCTGCAGTTCTTACTTACTCCCAGATGTTTGCTGATGCGAAGAAGTGATGTTTGTGTACTCAGAACAGAAAAATCAATAGCTGAACATTTTGAAACTTTTTCATTCCTTCCTAGTTTAATGATTAATAATACATTCACTGCAGTATAGTGCAATTTGAGGCATATACACTATGTTGGACAAGGAAGACAGATTCATGTTCTTAATTCTATTGAGTGACTCTGAAGGCTTGGGTCTTCTGTGCAAAATGTATGTGAACATAAGCTTGTTTTCAGTGGAATGTGCTATGCGACCGATTCACATTTATTATTCCATTATGACAGTTTATGCTTTCAGAAGGATTATTAAATTTCAGTGAAAGTGATTTAGGCAAGGCTTTCTTGCCTGTGTCTTCACAAATATTGATGGATTCGCCACTGTTTTAGCTAATTTATGGTTCTGTGAAAGAAAAGATTGCCAAATAAAATAGTTTCTGAGCCACTCCTTCCAGAGTTTGGTGAAAGCTTGACCCGCCAGCGGCAGTTGGTCTTTATGTTTGCAGATCTATGTGAATTTTTAAAAATGGGATGACAGCAAGGATTTTAATTTTTCACAAATGGTAACATGTCAAAACTGAGTTAGATTCAAATTCTCAGTAAGGATCACTTTAAAATTGAGATCTTAGTCCCTAAATATTTCCCACAGTTCTTGGCAAAGTTTTATAAGTTATCGAACATTCTGATAGTGCACCTAGAATCATCCTCTAATTTAAAAAAAATACAATATTTACACAACTCTTTCAGTTGATGTTTTTTTTTCTTGGTGACTGTGTCTTTCTTCTCTCTGTAGAAGCAGTATATAATCTTAATTACATTTATTAAATACAAGACCATCACACACAGGTACAGATTAAAATCTTGCTATCTTCAGTCTGCATTCAAAGCAATTAATGACATGGGCAAACCCATCTATTTCAGTGTGTAACACACTTGGCACTGAGTACTGACATGCCCACCCTTCACTGTGGCGCACTGAAGATGCCATTTGCTTTCCTGTATGATTCTGCGTTTTTTTGAATCTGTGAAATGGGAAATGCAATGCTCCCCAGACAGATATTTTGAGATATACCTTTCTGTTTGCAGTAATAAGGGCGGAATTTTGTGTCAATACAGGAAACACATTTTCTTTAGCATTTTCATGCCATTGTCTGCTTAGTCTCAATGTGAGACTAGATTTTATAAGAAAAGGAAAAGTGATTCTTATTTTGCTGTTTGAATCACTGCTGAATGATGTTTTAACTCATAAATCAAGTTAGAAAACATATTGTCTTGTAAAATATGGCTGCAGAGAGGATTTTTAAATGCCCCCATCCATCAATGGTTCCTTGTCAGTCTGCCTTGGTTTGGTCAACACTAGTTATTATTATTTTTTTTAATAATAAATCTAGACTTCATCAAGCTTCTTCTCCAACCTGCAATACTTCCATCTTAGCAAGTGATTTCAGCTTCCCTGGTCTCTGTGTATATGCTCTGTTATGTTCCTTGCTTCCTAGTACATGCAGATTCTATGCCCCACCTCACATATATTCATATACATTCGTGCTTATCCTCACATACAGACTCCATGTCCATCCTCACATACAGACTCCATGCCCCCATCACATACAGACTCCATGCCCCCATCACATACAGACTCCATGCCCCCATCACATACAGACTCCATGCCCCCATCACATACAGACTCTATGCCCATCCTCACATACAGACTCCATGCCCCCATCACATACAAACTCCATGTCCATCCTCACATACAGACTCCATTCCCATTCTTGAATTATTTTACTAATAAAAGACTAATATATTTTTTTTCTTTTCAAGCTTGACCCACATCCTGCACACCAGCCCTTCCCATGTGGTTTGAACTCATTCTAGAGATACATCTTTTCCTCAGGTCCTGCCACCACTTCTGCTTAGTCTTTTTTGTAGCAGCCTTGACAACATGAATAACTGAAAAAATAGACTGCATTTCACTTGCAAAAGTAATGAAATTAATCTTTCTTGCCACTTATCCTCTCTTGTGTCTTTCAGGTGTTTGGTATTATTAATCAGTACCTAGTTTCCTCATTTTTCTTACTTTATCTCTTCAAAACTCCTCTGTCTAGCCTCTGTCTTCCCCGCTGCCCTGAA